CAAACAAACGCTTACTTGCAGAATGAAACACAAATGAGAATGCACCTGTATGTATTATCAGTATCTCCCCTGCTGAGACTGCCTGCCTTTAGGCAAACACCTGAGATGCAAAGCATCTGTGTGTGTGTGGTGTGGAACCTTTAAAGGAAAGCACAGTATTCTGAAGACAGCCTGAACTAGGCCTGACTTTTTGTAGACTGCTAAATTCTTAATAAACATTTTACACACATTATGCATGGCTAGAATATTCTTTGTCAGAGTGCAATCACATGTAGCTATGTAAACTTGATTTCACACATTGTTGCATTTGTAAATTTGTCAGAACACAATTCAAAAGTGTGCTCTACATTCTCAGCCTTGCCACAAGGGGTGCTATTACAATTATTAGCACAACTGTCTTCTTCTATTATCAGCTTATTCAGTCTAGTCAATTACTGTAATATCAGAGCAGTTTCTTGCTTAGTCATTTAAAGTTAAATAGGGGTGTGTGATATGGCCAAAATTGTATAAAGGCAGCTTATGTACGTGCACTTCAGGTGTGCATTAGAAAGTGCGAGTACCGCATCATTTTTTCCCCCGGTTTAAGAACTATGTTACGTCCCGCACTTTATTTTCTTATTCAGGCATTGCGACTATATTTACATACCATGTTTTACACAAACTAATGCAAACTCTCTATTAATAGGCACTTTCTATTGTTGATGTGATATATATCGTCACACTGCTCAGCCAGTTATAGCTAGCAACCTGAATAACAACAAATATGGTGTAAACGTACAGACATTTGACGGTAACTCTATCGCCCCCTATGGGACCACTGCATTTGTGGCTGTGTATACAGACTTCCATCCACAAATGAACACCTGTTCACACCAAGGACTAATTCTAATACAATAGGGATGTCCACACCACAACTATAATAATAATGTCACAGTGTAACAATATCGGTTGATTCACTTTCAGAATTTTTTTTTTCCCAGTTGTTGAGCTATAAAAACATTTGACAGTCAATCAGAATCAATCCTATTTTAAGGAGCATTTAAAGCACCAGATGACATAACTGCAATGCATGCTTATAATAAACAGAACGTTATCTTGTGTTGTTTTGGACACTAATATATAGTTATCCTTCTTAGTGGGCCGTTAGACTTGGAACACATTATTGTACTGAATTTGATAAAACAAACAAAACAATAAATCAAGACATTTTAATTGCATGATTATGATATGTTCTATGAGTCACTGTTTTAAGGCCCAAAGAATTGGGGTATAAAGCCTTGGAAATCAGATCTAATCTAAGCTGCCTACATCAATGTTTCTTTGTGCCTGTGCCCTTCATGACTATGAATGAGGCGTATATGTGCTGATGAAGAGGGGAAAAAAGGAAAAGAGCAGGAGAAGAAAAACAGGAACACCCTAAGGCCTTTCATAGGTTACACAAACAGAAGCAGTACCTGAGAGTCCCTTTTGAACCTGGCATCAAACAGACACATGTACACGGAAGCTCATGCCTCCAGATCTCAGACCATTGGCCATTAATGGCAGAGCTCATGTAGAGAGGAGGATCAGTGTGTTGAGCAGCATTTAGCCCTGTTTAGCACTCCATTTGGGCTCAAATAAATCAAGGCTGTTGGAGAGAGGCCTCCATTATGAGTGCAGGGGCCCCGCAGTGAGCTGTCATTCACTGGCCAGCCACCTTCACCTTTCAACTGCTAATTACAGGGAGCCACACAGCTCACAGTGAAACACACACGCATACAGAAGCCATTTTAAAGCTCTCTTACGAGGAAAAATAGTTGTGGGAAACATAGACGTGCTCTCTAGACCTCAACACATCTCTCTTTTCCTCAAGAATTCTTGTTGATCCCGAATTTAGAAGTAAAGGGATTTATCCACACAAATAAATGATCAGAGGAATGAGACTGGGGTTAAGAAGGAATGAGCAAGTGAAATCTTATCTGCCCACAAGCATCCAGAGCATCAAACACATGGTAGATGACAACCCACATACTGTTAATGTATAATGATGGAGACGCATCTACGTTCTAGGAGTGACATGAACATGATGTGTAACAAAAACCATGTCATTGGAAAAGCATGTCAACAACTCAACAGTGTATTCATCTCTGAATCCTGAAAGTTTTTAAAGCAACCGTGCAATGCTGATACACAAACGGAAAAGAGAATTTGGTAACAGACATTCAGTGCCTTGTTCTAATGCCAATCATAAACAAATCTAATTGCTAAGAATGTACACTATTGTTCAAAAGTTTGGGGTCAATACGATTTTGTATGTTTTTGATAGAAGTCGTATGCTCACCCAGGCTGCATTTATGTGAGCAAAAATACAGTAAGAATGGTAATATCGAGAAATATTATAACTAGGGATGCATGATATTATCAGACCAATATCGGAATCAGCCGATAATGGCTTTAAATAAATATCGGCATCGGCCCGATATGAAAAATTATGCCGATATGTCTTGCCGATAAGAGGAATATATTAACTCACATGTGCTCAGGGTGTGCTAGCGATTAGATCACGTCAACAATGCGATTTAGATCACGTCAGCATTGTGGCTCATTCTTGAAGCAAAGTTTTGACTGAATGGTGATTGGATTCACTGTTTTGATCGCTGCATTTAAACTGAGAATGCACATACAGAATGACGCGTTTGGTGTATGATAGAGTAAACAGTAATAGCACGTGCAGTGACAGCAGCGGCAGCCTCCCCCGGGTCCTAATGCCCGCTCAGTAAGGAG